TGAAAACGGGGCGTCTTTCTGGCCGCTGAAAGCCGGCAAAGCCGCCGTATCGGGGTGAGCCAGCTGGGTGCTGTTTCCTTCCCTTTGGAGCCATCGAGTCAGCCGTTGGGTTTCAACCTTTGCAGAAGCTGCTTCTGCTTCTGGGTGACTTGGGTGGGAGCAGCAGCCCAGCACAGAGCCAGCTGGGACCGGGACCGGCAACCCCCGGAGCCGAGGCTGCCGAGGAGCACGTCTGGGCTGTAGCTGTGTGCTGTGTTAGCTGGAAACCCCGGTCTTAAAGCTGTGTATTTAAAAAAATTTTAAAAATAAATAAAAAATCCAGGACTTTTCAGCTCCTGGGTGTGATGGGATGCTGATGTCAGTGTCTGGCAAACAGAAATGAGGATGCTTGTGTTTTGCCAGCCTCCACCCTCCACGCTCTGGTTTCATTACGGTCTTCTGGGTGTATTCCTTCCCAGAGGCGGCTAAACATCCCCTGACGTGGAAACGCTTTTGTATGGGTGTAGCTCATAAAAATCCTCGGGGCTGTCAAGCAAGCGGCTTGCCATGGGTCAGCTGCTCCGTGATACGTGACTCAGGCACGCTGGTAGCCCACAGGAAATTCAAAGTAAATCCAAGTTACCCCAGCCCCTGCTGAAAGAGAAACAAGACCAGCAGATGCATAGGAAGTCGTTTGTGTGTTTCGGCTCTTGGCTTTTGCTGTTACTGGGTACGTTGGGGGGGGGTCTCCTGCGCAAGGCAGAGGCCCTGCTAGAAGCTGCTGCATCTCATGAAGCACGTGGGTCGTGGTGAGGGTCTGTGGCTGAATCCAGCTGCTGCACACACCGGCTTTCCCCCACGTTTAAATCTGGGTTTTTTATGTTTGTACCCAGATTCGCTACAAGGAGGAGTTTGAGAAGAACAAGGGGAAAGGCTTCAGCGTCGTGGCTGACACCCCGGAGCTGCAGAGAATCAAAAAGACTCAGGATCAGATCAGCAACGTGAGTAGCTTCTAATCTCTGCGTGTTATTGCGCGGGGTGGGGGGGGGGGGGGGGGGGGCTCTGCCCGAGCAGACCCACGCTCTGACAGCTGCACCGAGCACACGAAGCTGCGGCATCTCGAAAGCCTGGCAGCGTTAATTCTCCAGCCCGTTTGTGCAGGCGTCTCGTGACCCTTCTGCTCCTCTGTGCTGGCAGATGCTGTAGCCAGATCCAGAGGGGAATCAAAGTCCTTCGCTTCTCCCGAGGTGCTCGAGTCCACGTTGATTGTGAGAAGCGAGGAGGGGAGCAGCAGAGGGTGGCATTTGGTGGGGGCAGCTGTGGACCGTGACAGTCTCATCCACCCCTGGTTGTCACCGGAACCCACGGCGTGGGTGGCACGGCAGGGTCCGGGCTTGCAGGGGCCATCCCTGTGCTGCTCCCCCGAGGGATTTTTTTCTTCTGCTCTCTTGGGCTTCTGTTTGCATGCGGAAACCCCGGCCAAAGGCACCCCTCTTCCTCCTGTCCCTTCGCAGCTGTGACTGTCCTCTGCCAGGCTCCGCTCCCCTCGACCCCTCCTGACTCCCGCAAAGCCCTTTCCAGCCAGCCGGCCGTCGGGAGCGTTGGCTGCGGCTGCTGCTGCTGGGTTGTGCGGGGGGCCGTTTTTCCCCCCACGTGCTGTCACCAGCCCCGAGGGTAGGACAGGAGTGTCATCCGCTTTCCTACCTACAGCCCGCATCTTGCGGTGGCTGCCGCACCAGAGCAGCCTTGCAGGGAGCTCCTCCAGGTCCCTCTGCCATCACCCTACCTCTGCGTTGATGTGGAGGGGTTCCTGGGGGCTGTGCACAGCAGCATCTCCGTCCTCTCTTGACCTTCTGGAACGGGACCTCTGCCCTGTGTCTGCGAGAGACCCAGCTCTTCCCTTTCTGAAAATGATATTAAAATTCTGCCCGAGTTCAGCAGCAGCTGGCCTGGCAGCTTGGGCCGTGTCCGTCCACGTCCAGGTTCTGGTGGCGTGGTACGTGGCAGACGTGGACGTCTGTGTGTTGCCACGGTGAATGAGGAGGATGCACGCTCGCGACTACAGCTGCGGCACTGGCTGCGTCAGACGTGGGGCGTACCTGTCCCCTGCCCAAACCCGACCCTGTGCTCCCAGGCGTCGTGGCACGGGACGCCTTCGGCAGAATGCAGGGAGTTAATTAACCTTTAGCTGCTAGTGAAAGTCATGCGTGTTCCTTATCGAACACCCAGGAGCTGTTGCGAAACCCGGCCCTGCCTTCTGCTGGTTTCTCCCTGACCAGTAAACCCACCCCTGGAGCGCAGCTTTGCGTGAGAAAACTCTCGGCGTCTGCTGTGAGCTTCTCCCAGGTCTGAGCTCTGCCTGCCCTGAGCCGCTCTCGCTGGCTGAGCCCTGGGCAGCACCCGAGGGCAGAAAACCCGATGGATGCTCTGGGGTGCTGCAGGGTTGTGAGCAAGAGACCCTACAGCCGAGGAGAAAGCCTGTCCCGGAGCTTTGTCCATCCTTAAGCATCCCTACCTCGGGGACAAAGCCCCTGGGCTGGGAGCTGCGCTCTGCTCCCCGGGGCGGGCAGGGGAGGATGCTCCGGGCTTGCAGGGAGAGGGAGGACCGTGCTTTTGCACCCGCAGTGGGAGCTCGCACACGCGTGGGAGCTCAGACATACACAAACAGGAGAATGCCCAGCAGGGCGGGAGGAGGTTGTTTATTCCTTCTTCTTCTGATCCCATTGTGCACTTCTCTGGCAAGTACTGATCTTTCCTGGGGGAGCTGCAGGATGTTATCTGCACACCAAACCCCAGGGCTGGGGAAGGCTTCCCGCTTGGGAAACGGGACCTGGCTGGAAGATTTTCCCTGGGGGTGGCTTCTCAGTGGGGTGGGAGCTGGCGGGGGATGAGCACAGCTTCGCCGCCGTGGAACGGGGCTGTGGTCTTTGTTACAGAAAGCACCGCTCTCTTGTAGAGAATCTGTGGAGGTTTTGGGGCATTAAGTAACGCAGCAGAGAGAGATCAGCCCGTGTCCCTCTGCTCGGCCCCTTCACCCTTTCCCAGCCATGGAAGCAGTTTTCAGCGGCTTCTCCGTGGACATCTGGCTGCCAGCCTGGGGTTGCAGTGACCCGCTTAGTAAAGGCGCAGAAACGGACCCACAACGTGCAGAAAGCCCGGCTCAGCAGGCAGGGTTTCACTCCCAAGGGTGCAGCCAAGGGGCTGCCCAGCACGGCAGCGCTCACTGGGGTGTGAACGCCTCCGCAGCACAGAAATGCCCCAAACCACCCTCGGCGGAGGGTGCCGATAGGGTCCTGCGCAGGGGGAAACCCTCCTGGCAATGGAGCTGTGCAAAGCCTGAGCCTCTGACCACTGGGAACCGCTGTCCTGAGGCTGGGGGAGCAGGGTGCTCCCCTCGGGGCGTTCTCCTTCCCGGGAGGGTGGCTCTGCTCCAGGTTCTGCCTCCTGCCTGTGCAGGGAGCCTGCTCTAGTGCCCTTCAGTAAATAACTGTTTAACCAGCAGACAAATGGGCTCCAGGTGCTTTCCTATGGCAATGCATTCATTAACGCAAGTGGCTATTAATTTTTACACCCACGCCCAGGCGGTTGGGTTAACCCTTCCCTCCTGCCCGCTGTGGGGGGGCCCCTCCGTGCTGGCTGCGGGGGAAGGCTCAGTCCGACGCAGCCGGTGTGTTTGGTGGTGTCTGCTTGCAAGAAAAACCCCGAGGCCCTCTCACGCTTCAGTTAAAGGGAGATCTTGGGGCAGATGTCGCCCCCCCGTGCGCCCCCGCCGTACCCAGCCATGGACTGGGGAGTTGCAAACCGAACTCCGCGTGTGCAGGGGGGACTTCCTAAAGGTGCTTTTTTTCCTCTGCGCTCCTGCAGCCTGGGGGCTTGGGAGCCTGGTCTTGAATCTCACCCACACCTGAAAAAATTGTGTATCTCACCCATAGGATGCTTAGACCTCCTCCTTTCTCTGCCACGAGCCAGCGGCTGAGCAGACATCCCTGGGGAGATGGGGGGGAAGTGCCCTGGAAGTGCTGGGGAGGCTGAGAGAGGGCTGATGCCGAGTCCTTGGTAGCAAAACAAAACGAGCTGGGACAAGGTGAAGGACGTTGCTGGTGACGAAGGGCTGC